AATCGTTTCTTCTGTCAGTCTTTATGTCTCTTTTTCTCTTTGTGTATATAATTTGTAGGACCACTGATCAGGGATCACCACATTACCTGCATAACATTTATAAAAGAACACATTTTTGTATTTTTCTCCCTGCAGTTTTCCTGACTGATTCATTATTTTATTCAGTGATAAAATGAAAATTACTACTTTCATTAAAGGAACCACTGAATCATCATACTAATTTACTGTATTGCATTCTCAAAGTAATCTTCCCATTGTAAGTCTTAAACCTTTTTTCATTCTTGTTGAAAATATTATTCTAGTAGTAATACAAATATGAAAACAGTGACTAAGTTTTCCTTTTCTTATAGTCAGAAGGACCATAGGGTGGTGATAGGGAGAACAATTATACTTTACTATACAAGTATCTATTTGCAGTTCTTTGTGAAGTCTTGCCAACTCTTTCATCTTGCCTTGTATTCCAGTGAATTTAACCAGTTGAATAATGGAAACCACTTTTTGGGTTTACTGTAGTTGGATACATTATGGGCATACTCGTATTGGTTAAGCTAGATGGAAAAAGTGATAGCTTTAAGGATGAGTAAATTGGAAGAAGTCAGAGTCAGAATAAGTTTTATATGCTGCAAAATAATGAACTACTGTTGATTTCCACTTTTGGAGAGGAATAATTAGGAATTTCAGATTTTGTACTTCTGTTTGGGTTTATGTGACAAAATATTGAAGGATTTCTGCCTTGAATTTGAGCTTTTAGTCTGTGAAAATATAGCTTTATATTCCATGTTCAATAAACAAACTTTGAGTAACTAAGAACTGTACTGTACCCAAGACAAACATAAACAATGTGAATGGTTTTGTTGGGTGTTTTCCCACCTTTTATATGATAGTCATCCAAAGCTGATATTTAGCCATGCTCTTTGGTTCAGCAATTCAAATTAAATTTTCCAAGTTTTGTAATGTTTTTGTTATTGATATATAAGTATTTGACTCTGCTATATGAAGTATGACAGCTAACTGCTGAACCATAACGCACATATGAAGATAAGTCTTATTATTTTAATGTCATATGTGAAATCTGTAATTACATTATATTGATATTGTGCATTATGTGAAAATAGGGGATGTGCCAGAGAAACATAACATTGCTCTCAGATCTTAATTATCCATGTTAATAGAGGTGAGCATTGGTAGAGGTGTAGCTAGATTCCAGATCAATAGAAATCATTTATATTTATTCCATTGTGACATATATTTCATAATATTTTGCATGCTTATGTATGTCTATATGTGTTTATGTGTATCACAAATTTATTTTCATAATTATGCTTTTTCTAAGGCTATTTTTAAAAATTCTAATTTGCATTTCATGTACATATAGCAGTAGAGGTGGTTGGTAAGATGTAGCTTGAAATTCCTCACTTGGTAATAATGTTAATTCAATAGAAAAATAGGCTTGATTTATTTTTTTAATTTATTTTTTTAAGTAGGCTCAAAGCCCAATATGGGGCTTGAACTCATAACTCTGAGAGCAGAGATGCTCTACTGATTAAGCCAGCCAGGTGCCCCCAAAATAGTCTTGATTTAAAAAATAAGTTTATGTAGCTGTGGATACAGAAGGGTAAAAAAATAACTGGTTATTAAAACTGATTTTGATATTTAAGTAATATATTGCTCAACCAAAGACAGTTTTCCCACATTTTAGCAAGTTGGTGTCACTGTTTCTTTTTTAACAAGAAATACCAGGCCTAAAATATCATATATGTGTATTTTTAAGCTCTCTAGATAATTCTGAAAACCAGAAATTTGGGGTATCATTAACATAGGTGATGAAGCAGCAACTAAATAGTTGTTCAATGATGATCAATTTCCCTACACCACTTCTCTAGTGTAAAATGAAATTAAAATTTGGATAATCTCTTGTCTTTGCAAGATCATAGTATGATTCTGTCTGGGAAACAAAATTCTGACCCTTCCCTTCCTCCTCTTATATCTATGAGCAGATTTAAGATATAAAGTAAGACTTCCTATTCCTTGATTTAAAGGACACCTTTTTGATCAAGGACTCCTACGTTTTGACAGTTAACTTACTTATGTCTTTGGAGGGTTTTATTTGTACATAAATATCCTGGAAACTTCTGTATGGTGTCAATATACCAATGTAAACGATCTTTATTTTCAGATCATTGGTAGAGGTATAGGTTTACAGGGGGATTGTAGGAATGGGGTTGGACCATTGAATTTTAGACTTTTGACTAATATTGACAATGGAAATCTGCCATAAGGAAAGGAAAACTTGTCACTTGCAAAAGAAATTTACATATTAAAAAGGAATTTGGGAATATTTTCTACATCAATTAAAGTTGTATAGTTTACATTTGATATTTCTAAAATATTAGGTAAATGATTGATCTTGCTTAGGCCTTTACATGAAACTAGCGAGTGTTATGAATTATTATGTTTCCAGATTGAGAATTTGAGGATAACAAACTTTGTTAGCTTAAAACAATTCAGTGATAATTCCAGGAAGAGAAATTAGGAAATAGGCATGCCAGTTCTTACTGCATACTTTGTTCTTCATATAACATTTTATTTTTTCAAATGTCCTAAAGTCAATATACAGACCATTTCACTTGATGGATGAATAACCAAAATCCAATAGCCTGGTGTGTAGTCAATTCAGTCCATTCATCTTTAAGGATTGATTTGGATATTGACATTGGTAATAAAACTCTCTGAACATTAGTAATTAATGTGGCTTAAAATGCAACAAAGAATGCCTTATGTGGGCCATTTCATCCCATAATAAAAATAAGTACTCTTTTATTAATATATATGGAGATTTCATATACAGAAACAGAATAAGTTTAGTCTTATCTTCCCACTAACATAGATTTGCCACTGCTTAATTGGCCTTTTGCAAAATGCTTGAACTGTCAAAGTCAATTCAAAATAAGTCAGTCCAAGAAAGACAAATACCATATGATTTCATTCATAAGTGAAATTTAAGAAACATAAAGAAAAAAAGAGACAAACAAAAAGCAGACTCTAAAATATAGAGAACAAACTGGTGGTTACCTGAGGAAGTGGGTGGGGGGATGGATGAAACAGGTGAAGGGGATTAAGGGTACACTTATGATGAGCACTGAGTAATATATAGAATAGTTGAGTTACTTATTGTACACCTGAAACTAATAAAACACCGTATGTTAATTATACTGAAATTAAATAAACAAGCAAACAAATAAATTGAGAAAAGAAAAGTTGATTCTATAGATGTCAAATAAGATGATGATATTTGCTCTAGTTCTACTAGGGAAATAATATAAGACAAAATTCTAAATATTGAGATTCTATTCTAATAGCTCCTTATATAGGCAAAATATGAATACTGTCTATACAAATATGCATTAAACTTCATTTATTTTTTTATTTCTGGAATTCAAGAAAGAAAGCCTTAACCCAAAGCTACATGCCTAACTAGCATTTATTTTCCTAGTTTTATTTGCTTAGACAGCTTAATAGAGTATTTGAAGATCCATGTAGTAACTGTAATTGTACCTAATTACATAATAATAGAATTATATTTAACAATTGCATTTATAACTTTAATTTCTTAACACCCCCAAACTGTAAAATTTTCTGAGCATATCATATTGAACATTTGCAGAAAACATTTCTTAAAGCTCAGGAATCTTATTATGGTTTTGTATATCTTTGCTCTCATTTTGGAGACAAATGGAGTAGTCTCATTTATTTTTCACTTTAAAGTGACAATTATTATTTCCTTCAACCAACTTTTCTTTCTTTTTTTAAAAAATTCAATTAGCCAACTTATAGTACATTATTAGTTTCAGATGTAGTGTTCAATAATTTATCAGTTTTGTATAACACCCAGTGTTCATCACATCATTTTCCCACCTTAATGACCATCACCCAATTACTCCATCCCCCCACCTACCTCCCCTCCAGCCATCCTCATTTTATTTCCTGTAGTTAAGAGTCTCTCATGGTTTTTCTCCCAATTATTATTTTCTTCAACCAACATTTCTTAAAAGATTACTGGGCACATAGAAGAGGTGATGAATTAAGTGCCATCCTTATCCTCAAATTCAAGGAGTTCATACCCTACATTAATAATATTCTTTAAAATTTGAGCAGTAATATATATGAAACCATATGGTTTCACTGAAAATTCATTGATGGTAATATTCACTAGAAAAAAATGAAGTGAATGAAACAAAGGAATTGATCAAATAAAAAATATGAATAAATAAATATATATATATGTGTGTGTGTGTATATATATATATATACCCTAAAGCTTTTGGATTAAAGATGCTATATATTGCTTCTAAACATTATGCCTTCAATCAGCTGGGTCTAACATACACAAACATGCTCTTTGATCTCACTTTAAATTCATGACAATTGATGTCAATGATATACTATGGTAATTTCATGAAAAAAATATACCAAATATAATCATTATAGTATTTACATGAAGAAAGATTGAGAAGGTCACCATTTTATATAAAAAATAATTACAGCTCTAACAATTCCCTGAGAATGTTTGTTTCCATGCACCAGTGGATCTAACAATTCTGACTTACACATAGTGGCTTTTATTTCACTTACTTAACTATAGAGAACAAACTGATGGTTACCAGACGAGAGGTGGGTGGGAGAATGGGTAAAATAGGTGATGGGGATTAAGGAGTGCACTTGCTGTGATGAGCACTGGCTGTTGTATGAAAGTGTTGAATCACTATATTGTACACCTGAAACTAATATTACATTGTATGCTAACTGGAATTTAAATAAAAGCCTTAAAAAATAAATTTAAAGACAATTAGGTACAGTGACAATTTTCTTTCTAGCATGAATTTTGTTTATGTTGTCTGTTTTTAACTTTTTCATATGCTTTAGGTATAACACTGATTTTGCAATGCTAACATTTCTTCTCAATCTTTTGCTTGCTTTCTAGTTGATCTACTGACTTTACAATGTCAGAAATCAGATTTAGCAATCTCAGTTGGGATCAAGTTATAACACTGGATCAAGTGTTAGATGAAGTAATTCCAGTTCACGGAAGGGGGAATTTCCCCACAATGGAGGTAAAACCAAAAGATATCATTCAAGTTGTGAAAGATCAATTGATAGAGCAAGGAATTATTGTTAAAGATACCCGATTGAATGGTTCCACAGCAAGTTATATACTTGCAAGCCACAGTGGAATCAGCTATAAGGATCTAGATGTTATTTTTGGCATTGAACTACCAAGTGATCAGGAATTTCAGGTTGTTAAGGATGCAGTTCTTGGTTGTCTACCTGACTTTTTACCAAAAGGTGTAAAAAAGGAAAAGATCACCCCAAAGACCATGAAAGAGGCTTATGTGCAAAAGATGGTCAAAGTTTGCAATAAGCACGATCGTTGGAGTCTCATTTCTCTTTCAAACAATACTGGAAAGAATGTAGAGCTAAAATTTGTGAATTCACTCAGACGACAGTTTGAATTTAGTGTTGATTCCTTTCAAATTGTTTTGGATCCCATGTTAGAATTCTACAGTGACAAAAATGCTAAACTAACTAAAGAATCCTATCCTATTGTGGTAGCTGAAAGCATGTATGGAGACTTCCAAGAAGCAATGACACATTTGCAATACAAGCTTATATCTACTAGAAAACCTGAAGAGATTAGAGGTGGTGGCCTTCTGAAGTACAGCAACTTGCTGGTTCGTGACTTTAAGCCAGCTTGTGAAGCAGAAATCAAGACACTGGAACGTTATATGTGTTCTAGATTCTTCATTGATTTTCCTGATGTAGCAGAACAGCAAAGGAAGATTGAATCGTACCTCCATAACCATTTCATAGGTGAAGAAAAGAGCAAATATGACTACCTTATGACCTTGCATGGAGTTGTGAATGAAAGCACTGTTTGCCTCATGGGTCATGAAAGGAAGCAGACACTCAATATGATCACCCTTATGGCTTTAAAAGTACTTGGAGAACAGAATATACTACCCAATACAGATAATGTAACTTGCTTTTATCAGCCTGTTCCATACTTTGCTCCTGAGGGAGGGTACCTTACTTACTATGTAACATCTGGACCACCACCTATTTTCTTTCAGCCATACCACCCACTGCACTTTCATGTGCCAAATGGTATGGTTTAAAAACAAACACACATACAACAGAAACTTTGCTTTAATTAAACACCTCATAAAGCAAGTTTCCAAAATCCATAAAATTTAAGATCTATTTTTATTTTTCTGTAGTTACCAACTATTTTCCATCAATTATATACAATTTCATCTATGAACTGACCACTTTATTTTCAAGTGTTATTGATTAGCTATAATAACTTTCAAATGTTGTGGACCACTTAAAGTGATTTTCAAATCTTACCAAATCTTAAGTAAGACTTTCAAATTTGTTCTGAAAAATACATTACAGATGCCTGTACCTTTGATTAAAATATAAAAGAACAGACTCATGTATTAAGATCCAAAGGTACAGTAAAGACAAGTGCCACCATTTTTTTTATTTGATCAATTCCTTTGTTTCATTCACTTCATTTTTTTCTAGTGAATGTTACCATCAATGAATTTTCAATACTTAACAAAAATACCTAATTTCAAAGACAACAGATTCAGAAGAGACTAAAACTCTGGACTTTACAAGCACTTGTTTTGTTTTCCAGTTAAATTGGATTAGACAAAAAATCTTACTATGGTTTGAAGGAACACTGAAAAACTTGGTTCTGAAAAACGGTGGACATTAGTAATTTGTCAACTATCAAATAAATTAGTTAATTTGTTGATCTGAAGAATAATACCATTCAGCTGTAAAACCAATACTGCAATCACTTTTATAGGTTTCTTCACTTTTCCCACTAAATAAGTTGAAAAGAATGAAAATGACCAACTCTGAATGTGAAAATTTTCTATCATCTGTTAGAGACTTTAAATGGCAAATAGCAAAACAAAAACAAACAAACAAAAAAACATGGTATTTACCATTTTCATGACCTATTCTGTCTAACATCTTAATTATTTCTGGAGACATTCAGTGTTAGTAAGTGAAAATATTTTCATTATTGCTAAATGGAGCATTTTTTTTCATTTTGCTCTTACCAAACATCAATTTCTAACATGACACTCAAGTGCCTCCCCATGTGAGTTTTTGCATAATACTTATCCAACAATTGCTTATGTTCATCAGGTATCTGAATATTTACTCACTACATCAGATATGCTACTAGCAAATCTACCAGTGGGATTAAAACAGTATTTTCTTCCCATAATGAAGAAAATAATTCATGACCAATATTAACTGAGATGACAGAAGGGGAACTGTCCTGAATGGATATAGATAAGACCATCAGAAAACGTCATCATTTTAACTTGCTTCTGATTTTTTGTTTCCATCTCAGTTTTCATTGACCATCACGACTTTTTTCATAACAGCATGATCCAAAAGGCATATTCTGAGAATTTGTCACTTATAAACTGTGCTTAATCTCTCTTCTCTATATTACAGTACTGGACACAAGAAGTACATAAAATATAACATTTTCAAATAACCAATATTTCTGAGATGTTTTATACCACCACACCGCTGGCCATCAGTGTATTTTTAAAGAATTATACTTAAAATATTTTATGTGTATATATACACATGCACATATTTATCAAGCATATGACTCTGAAGCTTTTAAACATTATATGGATCCACCTCCTTGCTTGAGACAAATAAAGAATTTATAAATACCATATTAAAGAGAAAATTCAGTAATCTATTAACATAATGAACATATTGGCTAAAAAATGATTGATCTTTCTCTAGTAAAATACAATCTTTAGTTTTCAGTTAGTGGGAGTGTTTGCATATAAAACTGAAGGAGTATATGTTATATTAACAGTACAAAAAACAATTACAAAAGATATAAGAGAAGTATCTAGGAATAAAAGGACTATAGTAATTATGAGTAAAGGGTAAGAGTTCAGTATTTCCATAACATTTTATGCTGAATGGCCGAATTCTGAAGCTGCTTGGAAACATCCCTCATGTGCTCCCTTAGGTTCCTTTGGTCCTATTGAGAATTTGAACACCTTTTTACCTAAAAAGCAAATTCTCTGTGGTGTTCTCATAAAGCTTTAAGTCCTGCTGGAAGAATGGCCTGAAAGCTACCAGCTTCCTCCTAACATTTCAAGTATGTGTTTTCATTATAGTAGAAAAACTCAGAATTGCCTAGAATCCAAACCTGTTAAATGGAAATGGTATCACTAAAGAGAAAGCTATAGCTATAGCTTTAGCTTAATCTCTTATGGTTTTCTTTCTGTAGATATCACCACTAAGCTAGGCTGTCCTTTGCTTCCAACCAAACAGAAAAATACTTATCTTTAGCATTTGAGTATCTCTCCAGGATTAGGTTAGTTGTCTTAAGACAGTATTATCTCATTCTGTTCATTAGGGGTAATAAATGGAAAAGTTTTCCTATAAAAAATGAGTGCTAGCTTCTTGGCCTAAATGTGTTAATAGATGTTAGTTAAATTCAACTCTAGAGCATATGTCATCTCATTACAAGAGAGAAATGATGTTGTCTTTTCCTATTTTAGTTTATACAAATTCAAGAGTGGGTCTTAGTTTGGGAATTGTTTTATTGTCTTCTCAGAAACCTAACCAAAACCAAAAAAGAATCTTTTTATACAGTTCTGGAATTCATATCAGTGGGACACAGTTGGTGTCAGTTATAGGTACATATTTGTTAAACCAAAATATTCTTGCATTTCACAAATGTCTTCACATTATTATCAAAGTTCTAGAGTATTTGTAACTTATAAATTCAGAGATATTCTTCTGATAGTGACTGATGTCATTTGTCAAAGAAAGTTGAAGACAGTTTAACTAGTTGTTTAATTTTTTAAGGATTTTATTTACTTGAGAGAGAGTGAGCGAGTGTGAGAGAGAGGTGCGGGAGAGGGGGGAGGGGCAGAGGGAGAGGGAGAAGCAGGCTCTCCACCAAGCAGAGAGCCTGGTGCAGGGCTCAATCTCAGGATCCTGGGATCATGACCTGAGCCAAAGGCAAACGCTTAACCAGCTGAGCCACCTAGGTGCCCCTAACTAGTTGTTCTAAATGAGAGATAGTGGAGCTAAATTAAAGACAAAATATCAGAGCTAGAACAGTTGTGATAATGGGAAAATAGCTCCAGAATATTGGGAAAACATCCTATGCCCAAATTCCACTTTTTAAATATCATTTCAGAAATGTTCTATTAAAATGCATGCAAATTAAAAGTTTTTAAAAGTTTTTAAGTTTTTAAAATTAAAGTTTTAAAATTTTTAAATTAACCATATTTTAATTTTAGGCATTGATACAGATATCAATATGCTAAATACCTGAGATATGATTATAACTCTTTTCATTCAGTGGATCTATTATCTGGAAGTATTCATCCAACTTTGAAAATGTAGGGAGTTAAATTTATAACAGAAAAAATTTGAAGTTTTAAAGTTTGTAATGCTTATCAAAATTATATTGATCTATGAATATGGCAGTTCCATTTATACAGGTTTTTTAAAAAAGTATTGACTCTGTAAATTAACATTAAAACAAGATTGGAAAGTTTGTGGGACTACAGTTTGAAGTTTGATAAGCATTCCTATGAGGACCATCTTGAAAAAGCCTAAAACCCAATATTTTAAAATGCTTTAGGATTAATTTGCTTTACCACTATAAAAGAAAATACAGTTAATGATGTTTTGTTTTCACTTCTGTTCTTTTTGTGGTCATATTCTATATGTTACAATGTAAAATTTATGTAATAAGTATTGGAAATTGTATTGCTGATCCACTGCTCCCCTTTATGAACATTTTTTCAGCATGTATAATTAGAAGGAGCAAATTGTTTAAGATGTTGGTGGATTTCTCTTAGGTGCTTCCTTAAGGAAAGTTTTCCTTGAATTTTGTCTGAGTGAAAACATACCATTTAGAGTATATGGTGTCTGTAAGCAAATTTAACTTGTAACAGGTGATATTTAAGCTCAACACATTATACTTTCTGTTTTGTTTTTCTTTAATATGGGGGAATTTGAAGTTATTTTTCACAAAATTGTTGTGTCAAAGGTAGTGCTACATGAATTACATTAGTGTTTGAAACAACAGAAACCCCTTTTTGTTTAGATGTAGTCTTTGAAAGAGTAACAGATAATTTATTGAAAAGTTTTTTGTATATGTACTTTTTTGATCCTTCAGGAAAACAAAATCCCTATCCTAGAAAAAGAGCACCATATACCTATATCTTTCAGTGCTTCAGGGCCAAGAAATTAACCCTGTAAATGCATAAGTGTCCTAAGAGAGAAGTGCCTTGAGAGGCCTTCTTTGCAAAATCTTCTCTTATGATTCCAAATTAAAAGTGGTGGATTGAATAACACTATTAAATCCAATTCAAGTGGTTTCATGATGATTTATAAAAATGTACTTGTTATACATTCTAGACAGGTGGTCAAATTTGAACTGTTCTCCAAAATTCTAGTGACTAGTCTACTTTATATTATAAGTAAAGTGTAACCGAGTCACACTTGGTCCTTTGGCTCAACTAGAAAACCCGGAATCCTCAGATTGAATTCTTGTTTTAGCATTGGTAAAGCCTTGGAGATAATCAGTGGGGGAGATTGGTCTCCATGAAAATGACAGTAAAGAGTGATATGAGCTTAAACATATTCAGAAATTTCATTTTTATTATAGAAAGATAACATAAAAACTTTTATATATAAACTGTGGCTTAAATCCCAAATGGAAAAATAATAAAGATATTGTAATATCTTTAACTTGTAAAATCAGTTAAAAAAGGAATTCCAGTATATTTTTGGTAGGCACTTATAAAATGTTTTTTTTAATAAAAACTGGTATTTGATCATCATTTACATTTAAAATGTCTGTTTTAAAAGTTTTTACAAATGTTCACCTCCCCCAATAAAATTATTCAACCCAAACATATATTAGTTGATATTTGAATAAAGACGATTAGAAACAATTTTCTTTAAGCATACATGTGGCTTCCTTGAACAGAATTATTTTCTTTATGATTTTTGGGACTTTTGTAAGGTAGCTTTGGGACACTTAGCATTAAATGCCTTCAAAAAGCAATTGTTGCTCAGGCAGTGAATTCCA